TATGGTAACTCCAAAATTATACCATTTAGTCCCTTTTATCTCCAAAACTGGCAGAGATAGGTCCATAGTTACTATTGAACGTGAATAGGAAGTCATATACTGGCAATCTAAGTGTGACCTTGAAATTGACCTTTGACCTACTTATTATCATGAACTGAACTCTGCTAATTCCTTTTACTTTGAACTCCAAACCTGGCAGAGATAGGCCCATAGTTACTATTGAAGTTGAATAGGAAGTCATATACTGGCAATTTACTGTGACCTTGGAATTGACCTTTGACCTACCTTACGATGAACTTAACTTTGATTGTACCATTTTTAGTTATATATATATTTTTTGCATATTTTGAAAATTCTTGTTGATTGCATTTTTACAGCTTGTCAAGCACAAGACTGGTGGCTGTGTTCCTTATTTTGTATATGTGGGGGTCTATACGAATGCGCTTGCTCCAGCTGGTGGTACAATATTCGGAGGCGGTATCGCCTCTCTGATCCTCTAGTCATAAATTGTGTACACGGACACTGAGGAACCAGGATTTTATGGGATGGGAGAGGGCACAAAACAAACAGATTCTTTCATGCAACACAAAGCAGTAGGTGAGGATGCTTTCACTGCACTATTCAATGCACAGGAATGGAAAATTGCTTGGTTTTTGTCTCATTCAAATTCTTTCATTAAAGTTTATTTTTCGGGGGGGGGGGGGGGGCACAGTAATTAAATCTCAGCTCAATTCAACTGGTCAAGGGATGACATGGGGAGCCATGTGAAAGGCAGAGAGACCATTACAGGATTAAGTGGTCTTCCTTTCATGTAGGTCTGCCATATTTAGGTTGTGTCCTAGCTCGCACTCAGCTCTTCTCATTCTGAATGGGGCTGTACTTTCATCCTGGATGCACCCTTAGCATACATTCTTGTTTGACCAACTTTGTAGGTAAAAATTGGATGTCCACATTAAAATGTTCACAGCATGTGCAGAAGCCACAAAAGGGTTTCAAGACAAACGCTCACAGATCTCTGGTAATGCTCAATTTTTCTACTGAATTGTTTAATGTGCAAAACTGTAACATGTCATGTAATATTACTTTTCAATGTCCTAAGATGCAGCATTTTATATGTAATTACACATTTATGGTGATGTGTATTACAGTAATGGAACTATAGTATACAGCATACATTTTTTAATCATTCATCATTGTGCATATCAGTTGTAGATGTGTGAGGTTTCTATTTATGACTCATAAAAATTAAAATCATTCATACTTCCCATTAAACACACTTCCCATTAAAAGGAAATGTAATTTAATATGCCAAGAAATAAAATCGGTTGTGCTACAACTTTAATAGTTATCAATTGCAATGCCATTACATTTGTGAGTAAAACCTCATTTTGGAGTATTCCACAGATATAAAACAGATCCTGATGCATTTTAAGCTGCTGAAGACAACAAATAACATGACCATACAATTATTTTCTCTTAAACACTCATGAAATATCCTAGTTATTTCTCAACACATTACATCACAATATCATACAACAATGAAATCTCCACTTGGCTGAACAGCGTCACTCCTTGATACAAGGCTTCTAAAGCATTAATCTAGGTAAAAAATAAAATAAAGCTGAAGAAAAAAACTTTAAACCACCATTAAGAACTGCACTGGGAAAAATGCCACTTTTGACGTAATTCGTCATGCAATCTGGTCTCTCTGAAAACCTGTTTTTGTCTTTTTTTTGAAGTTTCTTTTCATGAAACTTAATTTGTAACAATAAGAGAGTGACTGCTCTTCCATTACTTTCCCTTTGTTTGCCTGATAATACAGGAACTCACTCATGTGGCATGGGATAGAGTGGAACAAAAGGAATCCTTGGACTTCAAGGCGGCGGAGTTCACTATACATTTTTCGTAATGATGCTGGATGTCTGCCGTACACTCTGTCGATCATATTGGCTTGGAATATCAACTGATGGGCAAACTGTAAATATATATTTTTCAAAGCCTCATGAATAAACTTGTTTTTCTAGAACTCCAATAAATACATCTTCAGATAATCTACAGATGTTCCCAATAAAACATTTGAATAAATAGCAGGTAAAAACCAATTTAAAAGGAACTGCACTTAGGATACTACATACTCAAAATAGTTACTTAGAATCAGAAAAAAAATACATGAAAAAATGGTAACTTTTTCACATTTTTTCATATCAAAATTAAAAATGTGTGTGAATGTGGGTGTGAAACATGAAACATGACGTAGACAATGTACCTTTAATATTCCATTATTCAAAAAGCCTGACAAAATCTCCCATTCCATGGTTGTGTAGTGAATATCTATAACATCTACTGTCCTTAAGCGCTTGACAAACAATTTCAGGTCATCCATGGTCAACTCATTAAGTCTTCTGTGACCAGATCTGAAGTATAACAAATATCATCTTCATCAATTTACTCTGCTGACAAAAATACTTTGCTTAATAAAGAATATCTTTAAAATCTTCATTTTTTTTTTTTGGTACATCTTCATTGAACTGTGTTTCACATTGCCAGTTATTAGCCCATGAGAGCAAAAATAGCATTAATCAATATTTTTCCAATGCCAAATTTATTCCAGAATTGTGTAAGTTTTTTTTTAACTGTCTCTCTGTTCCTTAAATATATCATGAAAACATTGTTGCTTACTCTTGTTTGAATATAAGGTTTCCATACTGAATGACTGGAATAAACTGGTAGACATCACAGTCAGCCTCACGGAAAACTTGTCTAACTGGGAGTTCCCTGTTTTTGCTAAAAAGGAGAAAAACAATGAGAAGATATTGGGAATATATATATATATATTTCATTCACAAAATCTATGTCTTTGCATGTCACTAGAAATCTGACATGTGTATACCTGAATATCTGACTTTTGTAAATAAGCTCATTAGTTAACTCAATGTAGTCAGTTGCTACCATTTGGTATTGTCCCTGAATATGAGCTCTCACCTCCTATGCTGCAGAAAATAAAAACACACTAAATGATAAATTACAGTGTGTTCTTAGTCATGCTTTGTGAGCGGACCCACCTAAATATGAGCACCTGTCTCCTGTGCTGCTCCAGGGAGCATACTCCAGTGACAGAGGTGCTGTGAGGGAGGACAGTGGATACCAGATTGGGGGCTTCCAGGAAAGCATGGCATTCCTCCTGCAAGGTGTTGATATGGTCTAATACTCGAGCTTCTTCTAGTTCAAGTGCACCTGGAATGATAACAAGAAAAAAGTTGGAACTTCATAGACTAGTTAATATCTTGTTATAAGTGTCTTTAATGACTTTTTGTGAAAGGCAATAGTGTAGTTTTGTTATCAAAACTGACATGCCTTACAAGTTGGTGTTATGTCTGAAAAACTGGACTGGATTATTTCAGACTTACAAGTGTTGTGTATTCAAAGTGTGAGGGCATACATTTTTTATTAACATGTGTAAGTGAATCACTATGAGTAAAGAAGACCCTGTGTACACAGGTGTGTTCTCTCACCTGCATCAGCAGGCGGGTGCATCACAAACACCTGCTCCCCGGGGTTCTGTATCCATGACAACCAGTAAACACAGGACTCCATGACGGTGACTTGTAAACAAAGAGGACTGGAGGCAGAGGTGTGGTAGAGACGGAACCCTTGGTGATAGAACAGATTGTACAGGGACCTGTACCAGTTGAATAAATAGTCATCATCCAGCTTATCTGAAATAAAGGGTATAAGAAAAAAAGAGTAGATTAACATGGAGGAGGGTGCAGATTACATGCAAATTATCATTTTTCACCTTTTGCTTCTTTTCATATGATGCATATATTATAGAAGCCACTCTTCAAGTTTCATGGGCCAAAATTTAAATGTTTCAAAAGTGTACAAATGTGTGCAACTTATTACACTAGGCTATCATTGCATATAAGAAAATATTGACAGAGATTCTTAAGGTTGTTGTGACCAGGGANTTTAACAGCATAATGACCATCAATTTTTAATAATAAAATATTAGTATTATGGATATTCAGAAAATGTGACTAGCAAAGGTCTTCAGGCCCATGGAACTTCAAAGTCACAACTTGAAAATGCCAAAATGTAAACAAGACAGCAATGTTCTGAAATGTTTTTTTTTCCCAGTTTTAACAATTTCTAACATAAAACAAAATTAAAAGTTTACTATCATTTTTATATAATCAACTAAGAAAATTGATGAGATGGGAAAAATATTAATAGAGCAGTGTTAAATGTCCAATTTCTTCCATTCTGAGATTCTGAACATAGTGAATGATTGAATCTGACAAACTGCAATGATATGAGTTTATTTCCATTTTTGAAACTTTATTACACAATACACGATAACAAGTTTACCATCATTTTTACATAATCAACTAACAATGTTGTAAAGATGCAGGAATGTCAAACAAACACTTTTATGTATCTTATTAGTAAAATAATAAGACTGTTAACATGCCTAAGAATTGAATCTGAGGAAATGTTAAAAAACAGCATAACTACTAAAATAGTGGCCTGATCATGCTGATTTTTTAACTTGACCTGCGTTTTAGTAAGATTGATTACTCCTGTGAGTTTCATGACAACAGGCCTAACGGTTTTCCTTCAAATGTGTTTACAGGGTTGCATATATGCTGAAAAGTGAAAAAACAGCATAACTTCTACAATAATGGCCCGATCATGCTGATTTTCAAACTTGACCTGCGTTTTATAAATATTCATCAGCTCTGTAAATATAAAGCCCAAAAGTAAACTGCCCTCCACTTATCGTGTTTACAAGGAAAGTGCACGGCGACGGCATCGGCATCGACGACGGCGACGACAGACGCAGGCGATGGCAATATGTACAGACACATCTGTGTCTGTACATAAAAATGATAAAATAAGTATAATATTTAAAAGTTTTGGATATCATTTGAGGTAAACTGATTGGAGCAGGCACAGCAGAAATTTAAATGAAAAGCATGTGCAGTTGTCTGTTATCATCAAAAATACTATTTCATTATACAATCTTTCAGCAAAGCATTTCATAAAAGAAAGCATAATCCATTAATTTGGAAGTAATCATTAATTTGGAGGTAATTTATATACTTGTATATTTTAAATTGGAAAATCTACCGTACTTGCTAATATCATTCCATTTTTCACAAATTTTCTTTTAGTTTTCTTTCTTAAAGTGAAAAGAAAAAGATCAGAGAAAAAGAGCAACAATTTAACACACACTTTTTCCTGAAAAACATCCTTTATTAAAGTGAAATAATGAAGAACATACATTATATTGGCATGCATGTACTCAAAACCAAAAATACTTTTTCATTAGTATCTTTAAATCAAAAGATGTATTTCTAGGATAATGTATTAAAACAAACTGCAAAGTGCTATTTTAGATTTTCATCTGGAATCTTCATATCAACTCCACTGTTACACTGACTGAGCTGTGTCACAAAAACAAATATTTTGAATTAAAATTTCAACATAACTACCAACATCTATTCTGCTTTGTGCAAGATACATGTATATTCCCACCCAAGCTTTGCCTCATCTGTGGAATGATCATCAAGAATTTTACGCTCAAAAATCTTTGGTCTCATAAATCTGTATTATACCCTGTTCACACTACAGTCATTCATTTGAATAAATAGCAAATTACATCCCGATTCAAATAACTGTAGTAGTCTGAACGCATGAGGATTTTTGTTAACCAGATTTTCAAAACTGCTAGCGACCTGGATTTTCTTCAGCGATTCGAATAACTTACCAGAATCAACACCTGTACAGATCTTACTGCGCATGTGTGCAGATAAGGGCGGGTTTCTATGAATGATTGTTTATTACTTTAGCGATTGCAATAAACGTATTTGGATGTCACCACTCACTACAACATGGGGAAACATAAGCTTATTTTGCCATCTAATACATCCCAGGAATGTTGGAATTTCTTTTGAGTTGCATTTGACGTCACAAATAAAAACAAAACGCAAAAGCCGAGTTCGATTAGAGCCATAAATGGCGCCATACTTTTGTTGGTATTTTGAGTTTTCCTCACATGCGCGAGTGTTCAAAACAGGAAGTTAAACCTTAAAATTTCAACGTGGGATTCGGTTTCGCTTTGCGTGTGTGAACGCAATACCGAATCGAATTCCCCACGAAAAATTCGAATTATAGAAATGCGCACTTTGCAACTGTAGTGTGAATAGTGAATAAAACAGTGTCATAATCATTTTCTGTTACTGAAGGACAGAGTTCTTTATGGACATTGATCTCTGATGACTGGTTGTCTGCTACCCCATTGGAGTGTGTGGGGCTGGTCATGTCCTTTTTTAGAGGGATTAGCAGGTTCTAATCCTATTAGGGGGATTAGCAGGTTCTAATCCTTTTTAGGGGGATTAGCAGGTTCTAATCCTATTATATTGTCATACATTGGGTTGAAGAAATTGGTTGGTTTGTTGTAGTCTTCAAAATTCTGTTTTGTTGTACTCTGGATCCATTGCATCCTATGAGAAAAAAGACGAGCACTTTAGACCAATAAATAAAAAGAACATTTCCAGTTAATGAAGCATAAATATAAAATGTTTTCACAGGCAATTTGTAAAAATCAAACAAACAAACAAACACCCCCCCCCCCAAAAAAAAATACAAGAAGATGAAGCTATATACATACAATATATGCAAAATTATACTGAATACTTCAAAGTTCCAAATCTTCTGTCTTTTGTCTCAACTGAGTATCGAAATTCAACCTTCAAATCTTTTACTGATCACATTTCTATACAATATGTGACTATGTTTACCCCATTCTGTGCCACAGAGTTGTCATATATAAAGTCTGGCGTGCTGATGGCCACAACATTTCCTCCATGGTGAGCCAACGTTCTTGCAGGTGCCCCAGTCTGAACTCGCCCCCACCACTGGAATGCAGGGCCTTGTTCATACTGAAATCATAGCAACAACTATTTCAGTATGCAGGGGAATAGTTTGATATCATTACAGATTAAGATATGGACGGTATCAGGACTATCCCCCCCCCTCTTGAAGAAAATACATTAAATATATGCAAATATTAAGTACAGAATAAAAAGTTCAAATCTTTTCATCCATTGTATGAATATTTCTTAGTGTGATGATACAACTCAAGGATAGCAAATGTTAATTATATTAAACAAATTATATTCATGTAGAGTAGAGAAAATTTCAGAAACAGAAGCACAGAAAATTTTATAAAAAGTCTAATCAGAATATATCTCTAGGTAAAGTGGGGCAAACAAACCATCTCCCACATCCAAGTAA